TTTCAAAAGAAGACATACATGAGGCCAAGAAACATATGAAAAAATGCTCATCATCACTGGTCATTAGAGAAATGCAAATCAAAACCACATTGAGATACCATCTCACACCAGTTAGAATGGCGATCATTAAAAAATCTGGAGACAACAGATGCTGGAGAGGATGTGGAGAAATAGGAAGACTTTTACAATGTTGGTGAGAGTGTAACTTAGTTCAACCATTCTGGAAGACAGTGTGGCAATTCCTCAAGGACCTAGAAATAAAAATTCCATTTGACCCAGCAGTTCATTACTGGGTATATATCCAAAGGATTACAAATCATTCTATTATAAAGACACATGCACACATATGTTCACTGCAGCACTGTTTACAACAGCAAAGATCTGGAACCAATCCAAATGCCCATGGATGATAGCCTGGACAGGGAAAATGTGGCACATATACACCATGGAATATTATGCAGCCATAAAAAACAATGAGTTTGTGTCCTTTGTAGGGATATGGATGAATCTGGAAACCATCATTCTCAGCAAATTGACACAAGAACAGAAAATCAAACACCGCATGTTCTCACTCATAGGCAGGTGTTGAACAATGAGAACACATGGACACAGGGAAGGGAGCATCACACACTGGGGTCTGTTGGCGGGGACTATGGGAGGGATAGTGGGGGAGTAGGGAGTTGGGGAGGGATAACATTGGGAGAAATGCCAGATATAGGTGATGGGGATGGAGGCAGCAAACCACATTAATCCTACATGATCTGCACAGGTACCCCTAAACCTAAAGTGCAAACAATAAATAAATAAATAAATAAATATATAGAGAGAGATTGCTTGATAGAAGACAACGTTATTCTTCATAGGTCTCCAGCAGAATGAAAAACTTCACTGTCTTTTGATATTTTCAGCAATAAAGTGTGATATAGGCAAGCATAAAGAAAAAGCTTCAGGCCTGGCACAGTCCCAGCACTTTGGGAGGCTGAGGTGGGTGGATCACTTTAGGTCAGCAGTTTGAGACCAGCCTGGCCAACATGGTGAAACCCCATCTCTACTAAAAATACAAAAATTATCTGGGATAGTGGCGGGGCCTGTCATCCCAGCTACTCTGTAGGCTGAGGCAGGAGAATCGCTTGCACCCAGAAGGCAGAGGTCACAGTGAGCCAAGATCATGCCACTGCACTCCAATCTGGGTCACAGAGCAAGACTTTCTCAAAAAAAAAAAAAAAGAGCTTCAGACACCTGGAAATTTACATTTGAGAAAGCACACATAATTATGGGCAGGCATAGATACAGGCCTATCAGCAAAAGAGCAAAGACCCAAAGAATCTTAGACCTGAAAAGAATATAACAGATAATCTAGTCTGAAATCCCATCCAGTGACAGAATTTCATCAATAACATTCAACCACTCCTTAAATAGGTCCATTAATGAGGAACTGTCTTCCTAATGAGTCCATTCAACTGATTATAAGAGCACTCTCTGTTTTCCAAGAATTTCAAAAGCACTCTTTCTGCAAACATTTTCAGTCATAGAAATGAGAAAGCACCAAGCTTTAGGGAGGAGGACTGGGTGCAAACACTGGAGAACTTCCCTTAGGACTGAGTTAGGAATGTTTGAAAGAGATTGATATAAAAGGAACTGATGTCATATGTAAAATATAACTACAGATGGAACTTTCCGGTGCAACCCAAGTTTACAGAACTAGGTTTCATTCATCGCTCAAGTTTCTTCAATGAACAGTATAGAGTGAGCGCCCAAAATACCAGATGCATGAGGCAAGAAAAAAAAAGGAGGAAAATTGAAGCATTTCCAGTATGTTTTGCTTCCAAAACTGGTTAAAATAAGATAGGATTCAGTTCTTTTTGGAGGCAGGTGACTTTAAATTTTTATACTATCATATCATAAACTCTTAGGACTGAAAAACTAATCAGCTACATGCCTCTCATTGGTGACTGCAGGCTCCTGTCAAGAGAGCACATGGCTATACAAAGTCAGTCCTTAGTCCTGCATATCCATTTAAATCAATTCATTCCAATGGGGAGCTGTGGACCTCTGCAGGGATGTGACTCACTGAAGGATCTGGCAAGGGATGCTTGAATTTTCTCTAAGTGGAGCCAGGACAACATAAAAAAGAAAAAAAAATTGACATAAGTTTATATTAAAATCCCAAAGGGTGCAAAACACCAGCCCTGCTTCCTGAAATACATTTGCATAATTATAAAGGAAAAGGCTTCCTTTTATTTAAGGTTATTACACTTACGAACTGGTCACTGGTTCAGGGCTGACCCAATATTCAGCATTGGCTCTGAGGGTTGAACCTGGGTCCGCATTCAGGCAGCTCCCCTACACCCTGCGTGCAACACCCAGACCCACTGGACCTGACAGACAGAGCTCGCCTCCAACAAGGGCACCCACCAGTGCTGAACGGGATCGAGTAGACGAAGCTCCCTGGAATCTGCTCAGCGGCTCTTCGGTACCAGAGAGGGAAATGGTCTGCATTAAAAATGTTCTCCTTGTCGCCAGCTTTCAGGAAGTCCCTTGAAGTGGAAAAGAATCAGAAGAACACTGTATCACTTAGCAGTGTAAAGGTGGGCCTGGAGCACCCCGACAGCCTTCGTCAGGTAAAACCAATGTTCGCCTTTAGAACCCCAACTTGCATTTCTCAGTATAGAGGGGGCCTTAGTTAACTGCGCACCCTAGATTACTCAAAAATACCTTGCAGGGCTCCGGTAGTCAGATTCTGAGTGGGTAAAATAATTTTTCCTTGTATATCTAGTAAACTAATTATCTTAAAGTCTGAAGCTAACCAAACAAAGCCTTCTGGTTTTTCTGATAGGATTTCTGTAGGCTTTAAAACCCACACACATATACTCATAAGCTTGGGAGAATCAACTTCTTAGGTAGATCTCATTCTTCTTAGAGCAAGTATAAAGAAGGTAAACCATGCTTCTTAGAAAAAGTGCAAAGGAGGTAAACGTGAGCCCACACTGAAATCTTTGCACCCTTCTTCCCTCTCCTGCCTCCTCTCCAGACAAACAGGCCTGCTCATGCCCCCTGTGAACATCCCCGCCCTCCACTGACTCCCTGCCTTCTGCCCAGAGAGCTTATCTGTCAGGAAGGCTAGCTACATTCCCCTTTCCATCACTTCCTCTCAAAATCACACTCATTTTCAAAGTGCACCTCCTCTACCACCTACCCCATGAATCCACAGAGACATGTGCAAGCTCTTGCCACACACCCTGTGCCCCCACACTCTCAGTCACTCTCATATAGCCTTTTTTTTGTCCTGCACAATTGTCATACGCCCTCCTCAGACCTCCCAAAATCTCTGAAGACAGGAGATTTTTTTCACAATTGTGCACTTTTCACAGAGCCTTAAGCGTACTCAAGTCCCAATGCATGATTATTGAGCTGACATGCCTCTAGAGAGTCACGTGTGCTCTCTAGCACCTGAAGTGCCTCATCGTGGCTGATACAATGCAAGGGGAGGAAACGACTGCCTAGTCAGGCCACAGTCTGCTGCAGACACTTTTCAGGAAGGGAGACCAATCAGCGGACAAATGTGTAGGTAGGAAGTTGGAGAAGAAATGGCACCACTTTCAACCCAGCAGTTTGCAGCATACAGGTGGATCGCACAGACCATGGAGAGAAATTTTCATGCTAAGTTATAACTGTCTGGTTTCCTGAACTTGGCACCTAGTTCAGGAAAACATTCTGTAGCTGCAGGGTGTGTCTAACCAGTGCTCCCTTCACCTCTACCAAAGATGGAGTGCCCACTTTTTAGAGAGGAGGCTCATGCCACTGGAGGTCACCCTCCAAGTGTTTGGATAGCTCTGGAATCTACCTCCCTGTAACTTGTACTAGCATGTTCCAACTCTTCTCTAAGGGCTGGACCTTCTTCCCAAATTCCCAGGGCCTGGCTCTCAGCAGGTGCTTGGCATATGCTTAACAATCACAGCATAAATCTAATCTCATATCCAGATAAGAGCTTCTCCAGTATTAAACACAATTTCCTATGCCTTCAAAAATAAAATTCCTCAATTCTTTCAAATTCCTTTGTCTGTATGGTCATCTTTATAAATGCTCTACTTTGTTAATATTTCTATAAAATTTTGCACTACTAGAATTGGTCATGATAGGTCAAAAATGGTCTGACAGCATAGCTGCCTGCATTTGATCTTGACTCTTATTGACAAGATGACTCTCCAGAAATTAAAAACTTAAAAAATTTTTTTCTTAAAGCACTATTCTCTCATTCAGAAGGCCAAGGCCAACCTTGGAGTCATATGCAAGATTGAAACAGTGCAGAGATGCCCTGTGTTGTCTAGAATGCTGGACATCGGGACTTCCAGGCTCATCTTGGTAGACAAGCTCTTCCTTACGCTGCTGTATTCAGCGGTAATGTTTCCTGACCTGAAAGTCATCAGGCTTCAGAAATACTGAAATTTTAGCATTTTCATTTCTTTCCCTAGACGTGTAATTCTTTCTTTTTCTTTTTTTTTTTTTTTTTTGTTTTTGAGACAGTCTTCCTCTGTCATCCAGGCTAGAGTGCAGTGGGGCCATCTCAGCTCACTGCAACCTCCACCTCCTGGGTTTAAGCAATTCTCTGCCTCAGTCTCCCGAGTAGCTGGGATTACAGGTGCACGCCACCAAGCTTGGGTAATTTAACCTGACTTGGACGGTGTGAGGAGGAGCCTCTGTTTCCCAGCCCTTGGCAGAATGCATCATTGCTTTCCACACCAGGTCACAGGTTCAGCCACAGCTGAGCAGAAGGTGTTCACACCCCCAGCCGGTCTGTTCAGTGTTCATTACAGCTAAGAGGTGCCCTGTCCATGCAGCACAGATTAATGGTGCCATAGGGCACCTTTTGCCAGTATGATGGCAGATGAGATGGTAGCTTGGTTAGAAGGTGTGAAGTGGTCCTCACTTAGATGGTGACATTCAGGCTTTGGAGGTGGCTGGCAATAGGTCTGGAATACTGCACATCTGGGTATCCAGTGCCCCACTGCCCAGGACAGCACTGGCACCCAGGGCAGCCAGCAGGAGCCTGCAGCACTTGATCCCTGTTAACCCTGGTGTTCATGAGAAAGGACTGAGTTGCCGGGAAACCCTCTGCCAATGACTAGGCAGCACTTCTGGAGGAAACGGGAAGGAGGGACCTGATTTTACAGAATCCCAAAAACGTTCTTCAGGAAAAAAGATTCTTCTGGATAAGGTGAAAGTCTCCTTCTGGATACTAGGAGCTACTGTAGAGGTAAGTCAGGCTGGTCTAGGTTCTGGGAAGAGCTGGGTGACTCTGAGTGAGTAACTGAGTCTCTGACCTCCACTTACTCATCTACAAAACGGGAACAATAAAAACGTGCACCTTGCCGAGGTTCTATCGGTATCACATAACACCATATGCGAAAGTGCTATGGACACTGAAGACATGTTCTAACAAATGGGAGTCTTAAAGCCCAAGAGTTTCTTTTGTTCTCGGTGGTTGACATGGGAGGAGTAGGTGGTCCCTTATAAACTTAGGGCTGTACACTGTGAAGGCTAGCCTCACTGGGTGCTATATGCATGGTGATGTGAAAGGTCATACTGAAGGCACCGGGGGTGACAGCCAAGTTACAGTATAACTGACCTACTTCCAAATGCAGGTGGCAGGATATGGGATGAAGTCTCAGTGTAGGAGACTGATGATAGTACGAGTTAATCAGAGGGTAGAAACTTTACATGATCAAGTTCTCTGCCCAATGCTTTAAGCGCTGCCTTTCATGCCCTAGTCAAAAACAAAAACCAAACAAAAAGTCGGAAAGGCTAAAAACTTTCGAGGCCTGGCTTAGAGAATGTATCCAAATAGCTGGATCTTGACAAATACTATTTGATGGGAGAGGATAGGCAGGTAAGGCCCTTAGGTAATAGATGTCAAGGTGCCTCTATATGAAGCAACAACAGGAGTTTCTTGAACACAGAAGATTTCATCCATTCAAATTGTCAATGAGTACCCACTCTGTGGGTCACAAAGTACCACAGAGAATAGAACACATAGTTGTAGATATTTTTAGCTTCCCAAATAAATTTTCCATCCATAAACAAATATATATTTTTTAGACAGAGTCTCACTCTGCTGCTCTGGCTGGAGTACAGGGGTGCGATCTCTGCTCACTGCAGCCTCTACCTCCCGGGTTCAAGCAATTCTCTTGCCTTAGCCTCCCGAGTAGCTGGGGTTACAGGTATGCATCACCATGCCCTGCTAATTTTTGTATTTTCAGTAAAGACAGCGATTTGACATGTTGGCCAGGCGGGTCTTGAACTCCTGACATCAAGTGATCTGCTCACTTCAGCCACCCAAAGTTCTGAGATTACAGGCATGAGCCACTGTGCCTGGCCCATCCATAATTTTTTTTGATCTTCACAGGAACCAAAAGAGATCATTGCTCTCACTTTTCAGGTGGACAGGATGAAGGCACAGAAGTGAGATGAGCCAGGTATACCTCCCAGCTTCCTTACTGTGCTCCTTTGTCTTTTAAATCCATCACAATAACACAGCTATGAGACCAGCAAGGTGTCATGTTTTATTGTTGTTACTGTTTTGCTGTTTTAATTGCTTGTTTCAATCTCAAGGCCAGCAGCAGACTTCCTTATTGAGTATAGAAAATGAATTCCCTTGTCTCCCTTTGCCTCTTTGGATCCTAAGAGGAGAAGGCAATGTGTCAGCACCTCTAGTCCTTCCCAGGAACTTGCCCTCTGGAAAAACAATTGTTTGGTGGAGGGAAGTGGGTAAAAGGCTAAAAAAAAAAAAAAAAAAAAAAAAAACAGCTTTAAAAAATCAAGTTGCAACTATAATCAACTTCGTAGATGATAAATGTGAGTATCAAGAAGGCCAAAGTCCTGGGACAGAATTCAGAGCTGGTCTCTTAAAATATCTAAACGTTGATTCATCTGTCACTTACCAGACTTGGTTTTGTAAGGTTATACGGTGTGTGTCAGGGCCTCAGGCAGCAGAGGCAAACAGCACTGCCGAGCTCCAAGGGAGCACCACCTCCTTGGACCCTTGATGATTCAACCCCTCTCAGATCGGCAACTACCCTGTGGCCTGGTTATTCACCTTTAGGTACCTAAAGGTTAGGAGTATGATGTTCCATGGTAATCTCTGAACTCACGCATACGCTTGCAAACCACTCTCAGACATTCTGAATCTCAGGACCCATTGTCCATGTCTTAACAATCTCTCTTGCTTCAGAGAAAAGAAATGGAAAAAATTTATTAATGGGCTCAGAAAAGACTTCACAGTCTACCTACTAGCACTGGTGAAACACCAATTTGATGAGTTAAGGGCCCATGGCTCTCTGAAGATACAGGGGCTGAGCATCTGAGAACTAGACCCGGAAACTCTCTGCCCAATATCCATCCAGGCCTCTCTGGAAGTACAAGGAGACACTGTCAAACCCCAGTGTCCCCAGAGGGTCCACTCCTGGGTGTGGAGCTCTGCAGTCCCTCAGGCTAAACATAGAGGCACAGGGGTCTATTAGTAAAATATAAACAAACAAACAGGACTCGGAACACTGATTTTCGTACAGGCAGGAATTCCTCAGCATAGCTGCAGAACAGCTGAACGCCCTGAAGGCATTTGTTACGAGATGCGCGTTTCCTCCCTCTGGCGGCTCCCCCAGCAGCCGCACCACCTCCCAGAGTTCTGAAATGACTCATCAGGGTGGGAGAGGACTCCAGGACGGTGGACAGAAGCCAACAAGAGTGAGGAACAAAGGGTGGCAGAAGGGCTAACAGGCAGGTGAGAGCACATGCTGGGGCCCCCCTGGTAGAACAGAGAGGAAAAATCTCAATAGGCCTGGGGTGGCCTGAATTAGGTTTCTACCAGTAGTGGAATCAAGAAATGAAAGAAGCCTCCCTTTGAATGTTCCATTTCGGGAGCTCCCTGGGCCCCTGCAGAGGATCCCGCCTACTTACTGATTGGTGAGCTGCTCGGCCCCGACAAACAGGTTGATTCTGGAGAGGCCCGTGCGAGTGCCCAGGAAGGCAACCTCCACACCTTTGTCAGAATTCCTGAAACAGAACAGCGGACATCAGGGGAAGCCTCTATCTAGGCAGTAAGCAGATAATAGCATAGCTTTTGCATTTTAAGACTCACAGAATGTTTTAACAAATAGTAGTTTTGAAATGAGCTTTAAAAGAAGTTATAGAAACACACACACACACACACACACACACACACACACACACACACATCACACACCACACACCCCCAAGCACAGATTGCCAACTTGTATCCCTTACAAAAGTTTTTACAGTAATACTTGCAGGAAAAACGAAGAATTTCCTGCCAACAAAAGCAGCATGTGAAAAAATCTACTTCCAACCATACACACATCTTTATCTCAAGATTCTGGGTGCAAGTTCAAACAGATCTGGCTAAGAATGGAAAGGACTAGCCCATTAGGGCTTAGGACTAGCTTTTTGCATTAATGCTACCAAGTTTAATCTTTGTCTTGAGATCACTCGTGGAGTGTGCAGTTAAAGCAGCTGAGCCACGGAACCAAGTCTGCAGCATCCCACAGCCTGGAATTCCACCTCGCTGGAATTGGTTCTGACGTCCACAGGGTTGATTACTTATCACTTACCATCAGCTTTTCACTTCTACCAGACCACAGGACTTACTCTCACCACCAACCCCTAAGAGATGTGTAAAGAAATGGCTTCTTCCAATATCTCTGTAGGAGGCTACACACAGGGGAGCTCTAAGAATGGCCCTGGCAAGGAAAACTAATATAAAAATTCACTAAAAATCATTTAGTTTCAACTTCCAAAGCAAATTTTATATGCTTGAGTGTGTTCTTCAGGAGATTTGCAAGGCATATTTTTTCTATGCAAAAAGCAAATGGCCTTTCTCCACAAACACATAATTTTATCCTACAATAAATGTATGAAGAAAACACCAATTCTTGAGCTTGTTTCTCCGTCCTAAATGCTACCAGCAATTTGATCTAAAGCACTCTCCACGTTATCTTCAAAGTAAGGTCATTTGGCTCCTTGATCTTTGATGAAAGTCAAAGTGGTAGATGTTACCTTTAAGGGTTTAAGGTCTGAATCAGAACCAATACTATGCATTCCTGCTTGTAGCCTACATCAAATTGGAAAGCCAGGCTGTCCTATCTGCTACAGATGTGGACTACAAAGCAAGGTACCATTTTGGAAATCTTTAGTATGTGTTAGGAATGAATCAGCAACCTTTGCTCAAGATTTTGAGTTTCATGACAGCCTAAAAGAAACACTTCAAGGTTCCCTAGAGAAAGAAACCCCAGGAAGGGCTCAATTCGTTGCCAGCTTCCCAGGAAATAAGATGCATGCTATGAAGGCAAGCAGTCCAAAGACACCCCCAATAATGAAAATGGCAGTCTCTTTGGGCTCCAGATTTGCATATTAAACAGCCTACCCCACATCTCCATTTGGGAGACTTAGCCATTTTAAGCTCAGGAGGTCTAGAAGAGAGAATGGCCATGCCCAGCCCTAAACCTGATCCTCCCCCAGTGTCTCCTGTCTTAGCTAATAGCGGCATCTGCCCAATAGCTCATGATACAAATCTGGGAATGATCCTTGATGGCTCAACCTCCCTGCCCTCACACAACAAACCCATTATCAAGTCCTGGGCAACCTGCCTCTAAAGCAAGCCACAAGTGGACCTCTTTTCTCTGTGCCCACTGCCCTGGTCCAAGTCATGAACCCTGGGAACACTGTAGGAACCTTTACTATTGTTCTTATCCCATTATACTGTTCTCCACACAGGAATAGAGAGGTCTTTTTGTAAAATGCAAATCCAATCGCTTTCCTCCACCTCTTAAAATCCTCTGGTGATCTCTCAGTGCTCTGGGCATAAAATCCAAATTCCTTAACCTGACTCCCAAGGTCCTGAGCACGTGGCCCCTCTGCGGCCTCATCCTCTGACATCTTCCAGCCTATCCTCTGTATGTCAGCCATGCTCACCTTCTTTAAATTCCTCCAATGTGTCAAATACTTTCTCATCCCAGGGCCTTTGTATGTGCTGTTCCTGGAATGCTCCCCGAGCCTTGAACTAGTTCCCATATTCCTTCTCCACTTTAGATCTGTTACACTTCGTGTGTCTTTACTTTTCGTTCAAAGCAGTTACGATTCTTAATAATACAGCGCACTATATACCACAGGGGCCACGGTGTTAAGGGCTCTATTTGTATGGTTTCTGTCCATTTCCCCGATACCTCACTCAGAGTGTGGCACATAACAGACACACAGCCAAGACTCGATGAATGAATGGATGAAAATGAGAACAGAATGAATGACAGATAGGATGGAAGGGAAGACACAATGAAGGAATGAACTAAAGAAGAACAGAAAAGTAGAAAGAAATGAACGTGTAACTCATGAAGATGTAAGGGAAAAGGTATGTTCTTCTTTTCCTTTTTAATCTTTAATAGTCTACTTAATAATAGTAAAGAAATAATAATAAGCTTCTAAAGCAGTTCTCATCCTAGTCTTTGATATCAACTACCCCCATCTTCCCCACAGCCCCTCCACCCTCCACTTCAGAACTAAAACCACAAGGTTATATCTGACACCCTATGAAATCGAGCTCTCACTTCTCCGTCCTACTCACAACCTAACCTGGCCCAGATCCCAAGCTCCCTCAAGACTGCAAAGTAGAGAGAGCTGTGGCGAAGCAGGAAACGAAGTTCTCTTCTGCCTCCCTCTCTCTTGGAAGTGTCACCCTACCTCAGCGTACCGAATTTCATGTAATGTTAAAACTCAAACAAATTATATGTCAAACCCAGGAGCTTGCCATCCAAGCCCGAGCCGCTAATCTGCTCTAGCTCTTGTGGTTTGGAGCTTTGGGGAAAATTAAAGAACTTTAACACCAGGCTCCTAAAACAGTTTAGTTCTTTAAACCATAACCATATTTCGGAGTGTTGGTAAGGAAGTGGGCATGAAAGGGGGACACGTGCAGCCACTTACTCAGATTTGTTGAGGGCCAGGCTGGTCCAATACGCTTCAATGGGGGCACTCACCACGGCATCAAAAAGGACTTCTTGGATCAATTCTTTATCACCTGTTGGGAGGGACAGACGAGAGGATGCTTCGGCAGGGCTGGAAGAGGGGCATGAGAGGCGCTCACGGGCTTGTGAGTTCAGTGTCTGCAGGCTACTTTCTTACACAACGTGTTGCTTTGTGAGTTAAGCTCCCACAAGCTGAACATATGAAACAGTTTTGACACCTGGTATGCCTGCAACACAGGGGCCTCCAAAGCATTTGGGTGAGAAGGTAGTCAACTGAGCAGCTTGGGAGTCTCACACTTCAGTCCTCTGCTTTTCCCCCCCATCTCATGGTTCTCGCCATGGACCAGCAGGCTGAGTCCCAGATTTGGAGAGCAGAGGCCAGTACTCCTTGAACACTCGGCTGTCATCATCCCCATCTCTGCCCTCTCCTAAAACTGACATTCTTTAGCATCCTGATGTCAGCCTCTTGTCACATAGGAAAGGGATATCATAACTTAATGACCACTGGGATTCTTATTTTGTGATTCCTTCTATTTAAGAATTGTTTCATATTATTTGTTTTTATTTTTATTTATTTATTTATTTTGAGACAGGGTCTCACTCTGTTGCCCAGGCTGGAGTGCAGTAGTGTGATCTCGGCTCACCACATCCTCCTCCTCCCAGGCTCAAGAGATTCTCCTGCTTCAGCCACCCAAGTAGCTGGGATTACAGATGCAGGCCACTACCACCGGGCTAAGTTTTGTATTTTTAGTAGAGACAGGGTTCCACCATGCTGTCCAAGTTGGTCTCAAACTCTTGACCTCAAATGATCCGCCCATATTGGCCTCCCAAAGTGCTGCGATTACAGTCATGAGCCACCATGCCCAGCTAAGAATTGTTTCATTTTAAAGGAGAATGTCTGTTCCTATCCAAAGAGACTCTTGGTAGAACTCTGTGGAAGAGGCCAAGGAATGAGAGGATAAGGTAAGTCTAGGAGAGGCATCCTAGAGCTCTCCAATTGCTCTGCTGTGGAGGAGGACAACTGACTGTCACATGAGGCAGGCCAGTCCTTACCCTGACTGGGAGCAAAAAATAAATAAAAATACAGGGCTTTGCTGAAAAGCAAAAGCTAGAAACAACTTATCAGTAAGAGAGTGAATGTACTGAGATAAGTTATGTAGTGAACTTCTATATAGTAATGCAAATAAGTGCATTACAGCTAAATGATCAACACAAATTCCAAAAATATAATGAGTGAAAACACAAGTAGTACATATATATGTACATATTGTATGTATTATATTCTATATATAGTAATTCACATACCATACATGTAAAGTTTAGTATATGTTTTTAAATAATATAGTTAATGTTACAGATTGTTTATGGATACCTACCTATGTAGGAATAGCATTAAATTCTTGAGAATAATGAACAAATACAGCTGGTCATTCTCTTTGGGAGGGAAATGGGGCTGAACAGGGTCCCAGGGACCTCAGCCTTATCCATAATGTGTCATCCCTTAAAAAGCACCTGGAGTAAGTTTGGCAAAATATTAAGATTGGGTAAAGCCGGAGGGGACTATAAATGTATTATTCCTGTTGTCGCTATACTTTCATTTTTTTAAATATGTCCTTAAAAAGTCAAAGACAATGACACACTGGGCTCATAGGATGTCCATCTGATCCTTTCCCTGCCCAGGGCATATCCCCAAAAATAAGTACATTCCATGGAGACGTTGTTTAGCAGCTGGATAATCTCCTTATACCTCTCATAGGATTACATGTGTAAAGCACTTTTCATGTCATTGAACACATGATGCTTGTTAGAGGTGGGGGCAGATGTCACGATCAGTTTTGGTGGCTCTCCCCCGCCCAAAGTGTAGCTGCTGGAGCTATCCTGTGAGAGTACAGGGTCTGCTTATGCCTTAGGGGGCACTCAGGCCTGCTGCTGCTCTTCCCTGCCTCTTTTGCACCGGCCACTGACCATTTCTTACTCACTGAGCTCACCTAGAAGGGGAAGCTTGGTAGGAGGAGGGGAAGGAGAACAGGTACCATGCTGAAAGGCTACGTGTCCCCGTCGTGACTCCACCTTGGGAGAACCAGGAGACCTAGATACAGCCTTGAATGAGACGTGTCCTACTTCCAGCCTTGGTTTCTCATTTGCAAAATTAGGGAGATGAGTATTTACAGTCCCTTCGCAGTTGTAACATTTCCATCCTATTCAGTTGCTTGACTGAATGGTTCAGAAGGGGACAAAGCCCAGTACAAACTGCTAAACCAGGATTGGGGATTCTGCGCGATTTTCTGTAATCCACATTCTTTCTCCTGTTCCTACAGGAAGCAGACATTTCATTGGATCTCATGTGACTGATAATCTCTGCCAAAGCAAAGCATCTCTTAAAAACTGAGGCCACAAAACAGTTTTGAGTTCACTCCCCACCACCAGCCCTGAAGGCACAACACACTTTTGAAAGCGTACTCACATTGGAGCAGAGGTTCTTTGCCTTTGAGGTAGAGCTTAATTGCTTCTAACTGAGACAGATGACGGTGCTCAGGGTGTAGGTCAGTGTTGCAGTAGGACCTAAGAACATGGCACGGCCCAAAACAAAAGCTTGTCAATATTTACAGCATCTGCTTCTTTTGCCTTTGAACCAGGAAAACTGGGCAAGGGACCACAAACCATGTGGAATCAGAGGGCAATGAAGGATGCCATGGACAAGGAGGGATGGTTTAATTCTTACCATTCATCTGCCAAGGACACATCAGGATGTTCTAAGTCATGCAGGCCTGGGGGACAAGGAGAAGGGGTTCATGAGTAAGTACCACTCCCCCGATCCTCCTGTGCACTTCAAATATTCTAGGGTAGTGCTGTGGGGTGGATTAAGGGTAGACATCAACTCTAAATTTGTACCTGCCTTGGAGCAGGAACTTGGAGCAAAATAAATGAGTTCCCTTCCAGGCAGGACTCCCTCCCCATCTCCACCTCAATCAACCAGCACTGTCACTTTCCCTGGCTGTTCATCCCAGGAAAACCTTAATCCCTTGAAGATACAGGGTACACTAATGAGTCCAGAGGGAGAAGCTTAACAGGACGGTTAGAAACACTCACTCTGGTGCTCCATACAGTCCGAGATGGGCACTGGGCTAGCCCACTGACCTCCTGTGTGACGTTAGTAGGTTACTTTACTTCTCTAAATGTCAGTTTCTTCATGTGAAAAGCAGGAATAATAGTCCCTAACTGATGTGTGGTTGTGAGGGTGGAATTATAGGTTGAACAATATGAAGTTGCCAATACTCAACTGTTTTTGAGCAGCAAAGATTGCTAGTTGTTACAGGATCCTAAGTGAGGACGAGTCATCCATCTGGGAAGGAAACTAGGGGAGCTGGGGTTGCAGGGAAATCTGGGAGTTTTTATAGATGGTTCCAGACCACCTTAGCTCTGCAAGGAGAACTCTGTTTCATTGCATCTTCATATGGCTTGATCTTAATGGGTTATCAGCAGACATACACTTCTGAATCATGACCTCAGGAACTCCCATGATGCTTATAGCCTGCTTTGGGAAGTTAGTTTCTTAAATGGCCAATAGTATTTTACTATGTCCAGGACTCCAGTTTCCTTCTCAAATACAAATCTATAAAAGAAGTAGCAAAATGCTAGACCTATCACACAATTCTGCTTGATTTTATAGAAAGTAGAGAATATATTAGAATGAACATCATTGCATATGACCCAAGTGGCCATATCCAGGCTCCAACACCTAGAAGATGCATGACCTTGGGGATGTTATGTCAGGTCTTTGAGTTATATCTACCATGAGGTACAAGTAATACTGCATAACTCACAAGTGCCAGAAAACACTTAAGTGGGATAGGGATTAGTCCCTAGCACAATCCATCCATCTATGCAGCCTTTCTTCTTTTTCTCCTTTTCCTTCTTCCTAACCAAACATCTTTCCTTCCTTCCTTTTACCCTCTCCCATTCCTTCCTTTCTTCCATCCTTTTACTGAGCACCTGCTATATGCCAGGTATGACTCTAGGCCCTGAGAATATAGCCGTGAACAAAACAAAACAAAATCACTGCCTTCATTGTATTTAATTTCTAGTGGCAGAAAAGAGATAGTAAATTATATTAAAATTTAACTTTAGAGCATATCAGATAGTGGCGAGGGCTAAGAAGGAAAACAGAACATAGAACAAGAAGAGGGAGGGCCAATGGGGAGAGTTGAAGAGAGAAAGAGAGAGCGTTTCCATTGTAACTATGGAGGTCAGAGAAGGCTTCCCTGAGAAAGTGACCTGAATGAGGCAAGGAAGAGTCGTGTAGGTGGCAGGGAGGGTGCTCATGGCAGAAGGGAAAACAAATGCAAAAGCCCTGAGAAAGGACTATATCTTCCCAGAAAACTGGGTTAAGGATGTCAAGTCTGTTTTTCTAGTTGCAGTTCCCATCTCCCAATCTCATTCACAAAATCCTCTCTGGCCATATTTCACAGGACCTATAAATCAAACTCAGAGAAGATGAGATCTATAGGGAAGATCTTTGTGACTGCTTGTTCTCTGGGTTCCTAGGGCACCAAGGAAATTTAACTGTACTCTAATTTTCTCACCTCTGATGTTGGTCCTTCTGAGAAAAATCACATCTACTGATGACTGGAGCTGCTGACAATACTGACATAAGCTCTAATTTGTTGAACAATTATTGTGTGCAATACACATAAAAGATTTATAAGAGAAACAATTTCAGCAGGTAGAACTATGGCCCATACCTTCAATCCTGGTAATGACGCCTTATGTTTTTTAGCAAAATAGACCTGTTTGCCATCTTTGCAATCTCTGACATTGGCAAAGCATGTGGAAAATTCCTACATTCTCTAGGGAAGTACTCCTTATTGAAGATCCTACAGAAGTATAGTTGCCAACTCCAAGGAACTCCTTTCCTCTCCAAGAACAGAAGAGAACAATAATCACACCAAGGCTCCTGGAGATGACGAGACCCTCTACTAGTTAGCCCAAGGGGAAGCAGCTTTCCTAAGTTCTATTACTCAGCAAAGCTGGCAGGATTGCCAGCCTTTTTATTACAGAGGACCAACAGAGAGAGGAAGATCTGACCTCATTTGTGTGGATAAGCAGTCACTCTCCCCCTTGCTGAGGAGTCGAGATAATTTCTTGCATAGTGGTTACAGTTAGCTCTGAAATTCTCTCTATGTGATCATTTAGACTCACAGCTGTGGAACATACAGGAAGAAGGAAGTGACTGAAAAAGAATCCAAAAGACAATGCAAAACAACTGTGTGTATCTGTGTCTCCATGTGTGTGTGTGAGAGAGAGAGGGAGAGAGGGAGGGAGGGAGAGGGAGAGAGAGAGAGAGAGGGGGAGAGAGGGAGGGACAGGCCCATGTATTGAGGATTGACCAAGGGAACAGACCCATGAGAGGCAATTAATCCCTGAATAACCCCTCCTTCTATTATTCTGACCATGAGTTGTTTCTTCAGCTTGACCTCACATGGCTTAGACATGAATATTCTGGCTTCATGGGCAGTGATGTCTACAGAGCCAACAAGGCCCTCAGAGCCAGAAAATTCTAGAAGTGAAAACATGATCTGTGAGAACACATCCTGGAGAGTGTCTTGGCCATGTTAGAGTTGCCTGTGTTCTCTGGTGTGTCTCTGGGAAGAGAGATAACACGGTTACCTCTTTGGTGGTCATACTCTGGGTTCTGCCCAGCTGGCAGTGAGCCCCTCTACTCCCTGTTCTGCCCCCATACGATCTCACAATCACTTAGGAAGCACAAACCAACATCCCTGAAACAACCTGGGCAGGTACCATCAGCAGTAAACCACAGGCTACCTCAGGGAACATCTGAGTCCTTCCTCGTGCCCTGTGGCATCACCTGAGGGTGCCGTGGATGGCCCAGCTTCTGGAAGCTCACTACATTCATGTGCAATCAGTTCTGACCAATTAAAACTTGGCTTACAACAGACCTCTGAATTCCGGGCTGTCCTCCCTATGGAGGTCCAGAAAGACTACTGTTCTGGGCCAACTCCTTCTCTGTCAACATGCAAAACCTAATGACCTGCAGGTGAGTCACTCAAGGCCACTCAGGGAGTGGGTCCCTTCAGAAACATGTCCACCGCCCCTGTGAGCTCATAATGCTGGGACAGGTAACCTCTTGAACTACTGGGTCGCTGTGAGATGAAAAGGACAGCATGTGTGACAGCAATTTTAAAATTTAAAGAGCTGGACAACTGCTCTTCACTGTGCACAGGGGCACAGTAAACTCTCTTATGAAGAAAAGAGGGCCTGGGAATTTCAAGGTGCTGGTTACTCCCTCTGACCTATGTAAATCATTTAAATGGTCACATTTTCCTTTGGGCCAGGGCTGCCACAAAACACAAGTGAAATACGTGGCTCAACTGTGTAGGAGACACCAAGGCTCTCATATCTTTGTTTTCATGGTTGCCCCCGGGCATGAGTTATTTCATACATTTGTATTTCTCCCAGGTACTGATTGTTGTGCATGAGAAGAATAGAGCTCAAGGATGATTCCTATTGACTTACATTCTGCTTTCATCCACAAAGCTGTTGACTATGAGCCACTGACAGTCAACAGCATCGCGGATGAAAGCAGAATATAAGTAAATTAAATCACAACCATGAATCGGAATTCCTGCCATTCTGAAACCTAGGCACAACAGGGAGGAGGAAAGGTATTAAGAATATCAAGTAGGGATTTGTTTGAGTGGAATGCCCAAGGGACTGGCCAGAGGTGTGGACAGATGAACAAGTTCTTCAGTTAACTCAATAGCTGGCTCCCGAGCTTTCTTCCCACACCAAAGGATAAGAGGAGCCAGGCAGCATCTTACCTTCTTCGATGGTTACATTCCCTCGGAAGAAATACTTCCCATGGCCTCTGGAGAGCGCCACACCTAAACTGTGCAGAGAGACAAAGCAGATCTTGAAATACCTGGCATCAACTCGAATAGACTTGTGGGCTAACATTTTTGAATTTTCCATTTTTCACATTTCCATTTTATGATCTGTAAACAATTTTTCCAACCGTTTACTTTAGAAACCCTACTGATTATTGCTGGTGTTGGCTTTTCTTAGGTTCAATCAGCTGCTTCAAAGTAATTTCTGATTGGAAACGCCAGCAGCAGTTGGCTACTCTTTGTGTTTTAGGAGTTGTGGCAAACTGCTCGCCCTCCCAGCAAGCCCTTCTCTCGGATGCCCTCCCAGGGACCATGCGCCCTGCTCTTTATCCACCCTTGCCCTGCAGCATTCAGCCAGAGATGGATCTCTCTAGCCCCTAGAGTTTGGGACTCAGGAAGTTGATCCCTTTTCGAGGGCAAAAACGAAAACTTCCACTATACGTGAGTGTAACCACATGGCTGCGGTGCAGGCTTCTTTGCCCAATCCTCTGCCTAGTCTAATAGGTTTTTCACACTCACTGGCTTGATTTAAGATTCGTTCTGTTTCTGTCTAAAGTAAGAGACTATGTTTGTAAAACATAGAGAGACTATTTGGCAAACCCACTTAGCAGCTCATGTGTTCTCAGTTTGCTCCTGGCCCCACATGGAATCCACCCATGATCCTTGGCAGTTTAGGACAACAATGCTAGAATTTGTTTTTCAGATTCTTCTATAGTCAGTAAACTCCTTCTCGCCTTAGCTCTGAGACACCAGTTCAGGAACATGAAGCAGGCTTACTGAAATAATTTTTTTTACAAAACGAATTACCACACTAAGTTAATAGGAGTGGGAAACTTTAGAATGCTACATACACATCTGAAAGCAGGCAATTAGGCAAAGCTATTTTTCAGGACTGTTACAAAGAGAAACAACGGGATTCAAAGGTAGACAAGCACACAAGGACAGTTCAGAGAAATGGAAACAGAGGCGCAACATGTAGGGATGGATACGCCACCTCCAGGTTTGAAGGATTGTTTTTTTTGGTCATGGAAATAAAAGGTGAAATGGAACTCACAAGGCAGCAAGTTCAATGGCTAAGGACCCTGGTAACCCTCTGCACTGGTCTTCACCCTTAGCAGGAACCCCGAATGCTCATTTGCTGGACAATGAAATGCAAAGCCATGGCAGACTGAATGAGTTCTCCTGGGTGAGCCTGAACCATCTCCCCCTTTCTGGAAAACAAAAGCAGCCTGGGAAAAGCCCCTTCCTCACTCTTTCCAGCCTTTCGGCAGGGTGTTTGGTTATCTTCAGATGATGAGCTCTGAGAGTGTCAGCAGGTTTTGTACAAACACAACTGATGGGTCTGATGGAATGTCCATGTATTATGGTCAGCTCTACCTGAAAGGAGTACCCTTGATGTCTGTATAATAGTAGTCATTTGTCATCACCAAAACCCGTTTCTAGATTGAAAAAAAAAAAAGTCGTAGAGAAAAGAAAACATGGTTAGTCTGCTAGGTGAAGTCTTCAGAAATAAATAAAAATAAATGGACACACTATGATCAGGTTAACAGTACTACATGAATCTTGTTTGAGATAAGTAAAGACAAGAGAAAAATGATCTCAGCGAAAGATATTTATTCCAGATATAGCTTTCAAAGCTAATTTTTCACAGTGGTTTGTTTTAAATTAAGCGGCAAAAATGTTTGAGAAAAATGTACCCCTTTGTCCACTGTCTTCTTCACCTCCATGGAAAACTTCCCCGTCTTTCGATTCACCATAGCATTTCTCAACTAAAACGATAAAAGAAAAGTGTGTTAATTCTTCCCTGGATTATCCCGTAATCTGGACACCTTGCATCCTCAGTGTGCAGTAGAGCCTCCATATTGAGCTCACACCTCGAAAACAGAGCTTCTGAAAAATAAACAGCCAACTGCTCCTGTACAATGTGAGACAGGCTAACAACACTAAATAAATCATCTTCGTCTTCAATTTGGGGAGCTCGTGTAAACTTCAGGACAATAACAAAAGAGCCTCGACAATATTGATGAATCCCGTGGGTCAGAGAGTGAACTCCTGGAAATCTGCTAAAACACAGAGCAAGAATGTCTCTGGGGACAAGGTACGTTTACAAAAGGGGTACTGATTTGTCATGGAGAAATCACTTTTCAAAACGTAATCGAGTTAAAGGCACTTTCCTACACAGTAGTTAAAAAGAAAAAAAAAAAAAGGCCAACCATTTGGAAGACAGGGATTAGCCTTTCCTAAGATGAATCACCTTTAAATGCTCTCTGAGAAATCTGGGCCAATTAATGACCTTGCTGATGAGGCAGTGAACAGGAGAGACCCTGTGTCTGAGTTTTGGAGGTCCCGTTTAGGAGCAGCGAGTCTGCCTCTCCTCCCCCACCCCCGGCTGACCTCATCTAATTACATGTGGCCCTTCCATGAGTTCAGAGGAGGACAGCAGACGCAGTGATGAAAGATGTGCCGTCATGGGCACCAAGGCAAGACGACAGAGAAGGCCAGTTAATGGAATAGGAGCAAACGCTGACATGCCACAGCCTGTCAGGAAAGGCTCTCTTCTCACCCCTGTCTTGTCTATTTCATCTTTGCCCCTCTTTCCTCCTTTGAGGAGCCTGAGCAAGATCTGGCCGATAGAAAACTGCAACACTAGGTAAGCAACCTAAATTTGATTCGAGGCTGTGTAGATTTGGGTTTGCATTCTCATCTTCTGTGCGAGTGAGTGAAAGCATAATTTTTAGCTGGAGGCATGTATAAAATAAAACATATATTTTACTCAAGATTTTTTTTAACAACACATAATGGGCATTTCTGGAAATATTTTCCCATTTTAACTTTTGTGGTTTTGGACAGAGAGAGCTGGTCCTAATTAAGTCTACTTTCTAACTTTTAAGAACGGCTCGATTTATCTTTAACATGGTTTTCATTTTTCCTCTTTCTGGTGCCTGCCTAAAGCCATTTGGGACCTTCTCCTCTCACATTCCCCAGGCAAACTACAGATTAGGTAAGCCTCTCTGTGCCCCCATGCCGCCCCGCCCCCAACTCCCAGTAGCACAAAACAATCAGCATGGGGGTCTGGGCGTGTCCAAGGCCAGGGTCACTGATGCCTCATTTAGTCTTGCCCTTTTCTTAAATCATAGCAAAAACGGGTTATACTTATTGAACCCACTGTGAGGCAGGATGGCACTGCAGTTAGGGAATGGACTCTGGAGCCAGAGCTTTATGATCCTGGGCATCTTGGTCACTTACCATCTCTGTGACTCAGTTTCGTCTTCTGAAAAACAGAACTAATGCCATCACCCATCTCATTAAGCTGTAGTGAAGGCCGACGAGTCAATATTTAGAAGAGTGCCTAGTACCTCCTAAGCACACGCAGTACTTGTCTGCTATCCTCCATCATCATCATCATCATCACCGTGGTCAACAGCATCTTCCTCATCCTCACTCAGTGTCAAGACACCTTTCAGTAGCTTAAGGAATCAGGATGCGGACTCGAATTTGCCTGACACAGACAGCCAAGCCCAATGTTTTCCAAACATTTTTGACTTTGAGGCATGTAAACAATACATTTTACTCTGATAATGCCTCTCTCTATCTCCTATTTTAGTAGATTCCGTTGCTTTTATTTGTTGCTCATGAATCACTAAATGGATTTTGTGACCTCTCTCCCCATCTCACCACATTGAAAACTGCTGCTCTTCACTGCCTGTGGGTTTGCACAGACTGAAAAGGAGACAGCCCCAGGTAGAGAGGTAAACCACGATATCAATGCTCAAGTTTTGCCGCTGACACAAGCCAGCTGTCCTGTGACCTCTCTGTGGCTCAATTTCTTCCTGTTTCATTCATTCTGTCTAATGAGTGAGGACTCCCAGACCCAGAGATGCTGTCAGGTGCTATAAAAACAGTCGTCATCAGATTCCTATGAAATTCAGATACTACTGAAAGATACTGTTCACTGAGTTCTTACTGTGTGTCAGGCACAGATTTTAAAACCCTCAAACTTATCATCTGAGGTGCTGTTATTATCCCCATTCTGCAGGTAAAAAAAGAACCAAAGAAGACAAAAAGTTTGCCCAGGGTCACGAGGCCTCTGTCTCTTGAGCCTGTGCTCTTAACCTCTGCCTTCCAAATCAGAAGAGAAAGCACCTGGACAAAATTATTTTATAGCGTTAATATAAAAATCATATATTATTTCTGAACTTTAAAAAAAATCAAATAAAATGTTTTAAAAATTGACCATGTCATACTCTGAGGTCTTCACTTCCTGGCAGGTCTTCTACAAACTCTAAGTACTTGACCTGGGGCTGAGGGGAAGATGGTTTTCTGTGCTCTTTGCCAGAGGAAGAAAGGGAGGTTGATGATTTAATAGACTATCCTGCGAGAATACAGCATTGTGAGGCTGCAGCATTCTCGAATGCCACTTTTGTATCTTAGGAGGCTGCGGCTTGAGAAGATGAGCACATTGCCCAGAAGCACAGTCAGTGGCACCCCTGGGTTGTAAGATGGCAGAGGAGCCCTGAGCACAGGCCAGAGTGACAGGGACGAGCCACGTGATCAGTCCCCGTCTAGGGCGGGGGGAGGGGCGTGATGTTCACCGCTTTGAACTTGCCACTGCCTGGACTTACACCAGTGAACAACTGGGAAAATGCAAACAGCCCGGCAGAGGAAAATTTCCAAACAAGTTTTGGTATGCCCATATGTTAGCATATTATGTAGTCATTAAAAATTCCATGTGCAGCTGTTCCACTTAACACATAGTCAGAGAAAGGCAAATTAAAACATCAGTGGTATGCCTTTATTTTTCCATATCAGATACCAAGCACCTGCAAGTGTGATAATGCAGTGGACATTAAAGCAGCTTGCACCACAGTGTAGTCAATTAAATAAAAGGTAAGACCTCCTCAAGCTGAAAATCCCCGTCTGGTGACAGTGATCAGCCTCTCCGGTCTCTGGGAACCACCCTCTCCCCTAGGCCCTGCATCGTCCAGCTCCAATGTGCTTCTCCAGAGCCCCTGGTGAATCTGTCTCTCTTGTGCAGTGCTGAAGCTGAAGCTGCTGGGATAACCACTCAAAGCACCCACTTTCCTACCAACCTCGTTACCACTGGAAGCCATGTTTCTTGTTTCATTGTTAGCCTGTTAATCTGACCACCCATGTTAGAGCTCATTAAGGAAGCTTTCCCCAGAGATTCACTGGCCACCTTAAGTTGTGTGTATGGTTATGGAGTGATAGCTAATCCTCCTAATGGTGGCTCACTGTCCACATTAGAACATTAGCCTCACCTTTTCTGGTGCACAGGCAGCCTGCATTTCTAAGCCCCTAATGACACGGAACCATGGACAAGCTGGCAGATTAAAGAGGAAGGGAGATGCCGTGGATAAACAGGTCTGTCATTCCCAAGCAAGCATTCAACCAGCATATGAAAACAGACTTAGTTAGATTCAAAGTAGAATCTACGGGCAGTACTCACAATGATACCATGCAGACAAACATCTGTTTAGCAGCTACTAAGTGCAAGGCACTCCCCATCTTTTCTGCACCCCCAGAGGAGGATAACCCATATACTATGAGTCACTGAAATAAAGTCTTCAAGGACTCCTGGACTTAACGACTTAAGGGCTCTCTCCATGGGATATCCAAGACTCAAGAGCATGGCTCTGTGGGCCAGGCTGCCTGAGCTGGAATCCACACTGATGTCCTTAGGCCATTACATCCATTCTCTCTCTCCGTTTCCTTACCTGTAAAATGGAGGTAACAAAAACACCCATTTCATAGGTTCACTGTGAGAAATAAATAAGTCCACTCATGTATATCACTTAGAATGGTACTGGTGTATAAGGAAAGCTAATATATGGCAGTTATCATTTATATGAGATTTTATATTAATAGAAATAATCGCGTTTAATGTGGAAAGCTTGGGAATGACTGAAAGTTAATAGGAACAAAACAAATCAACCTCAATTCCTTCTGCCATCTCTGAGAATTTATAACCAAAGGATAAATGCTATTTTTAAGATAATTTTCCCTTCCCAGAGGGGAGCTACACTGGTTAGGCGACGCATGCCTCAAAGTCCCCTGCTGGCACATGGGTTCCCCAAATATCTGCCCTACTTACAGTATGGCTGATGTGATGCCTAACTCATCCTGCAGAGTGGGACAGAAGTCCTGCACATACTCCTCTAAACAGTTTAAGATTTTTGTCTTTTAATTTTAGCCAGTCTATTTTATATGCATTTTAACAGTAGATATGAACTTACATCATTTTGGGAAGTATGCAAGTTATAACTGGTTATTAAAGTCAGGAGCCTACTTCCTAGAGAAGTCGACCTCACCTTCCAAGAAATTCTCTGCATCCGGGCAGACTCTGCTGCTTCTTCCTCAGCTGGCTGTGCTTACATGGTCTTGCCTAGATTTTGACCTAAACCCTGTCCTCTGCTACTCAGGTGCAAACCCCAAAGGCCAGCCCATGGACATGTGAGATTTTGCGCAGACTTCACAATGATGCTTTCTGTAGATTCCAGAATTCTCCAATTAGGGACGTGCAAATCCCCGGGAGAGAAATGGTGGTCTGGGTTTTCCCAAGTCAAACATGTTGATAGAGAAGGAATTCACATTTCAAATGCACCATGCTCCCAAGGCAACAAGATGAGAGAGCCAAACCGAAGAGCTAACCAGAGACCAATCTGTGTGAAACAAAAGCATTGGACCTGCTTGAGAAATGGGAACTCTGAAGTTGGATGAAGTTGGACAGACAGAACATAGTTCTGGGATTCACGTGGAGGTGAAGAACATGCACATGAGGCTGAGAATCTGATGTCTGCAGCTCCGACGAGAAAGGGAAGTAGGATGCGGAGATAAAAGGTGTTCCCAAACTGTGATGACTAAAGGAGACATTCGCTCACTGAAACCCAGCTGGGACACAGGTGATGCCTGGAGTGAGCTGAGTCATACATGTCTTCAGGTAGGATGCAAAAAGGGAGAAGGTTCAGTGAGGCCACAAACAAGCAAAACAACAAAAAGCAACACATAAAGTGAGGAAGGAAGAAGAACAACAGCAATGGAAAGTCCCCTCCAGAGTCATAGCAACTGTAAGTCCAAAGGACATTCATTCATGACAGGGTCCCCTGAAGACCAATGAGGGTGAAAAGAACACTAACAATGGCTACCACCTTTAGAAAGCTCCCTGTGTCCCCAGAATGGTGTAAGCACTTTTCTGTTTTTTAATCTATTAACCCATTTAATCCTCACAACAGCTCTATCAAGTGGGGACAACTGCCATCATACTCATTTTATTTGGAAAAAATAAAACAAAGAACACAAAATAAAACTGAGGTCTAGAGAGGCATACTCACCTACCCAAGACAGACCTCTGGCAAGCAGTGAAGGTGGGATTTGAACCTGGCAGGAGTCTAACACCTGAGCAGCACTCCTCACACTGTGCTAAGCCAGGGTGGGCACATGAGGTGCAGGACCATCCTAAGAACCACCCAGATCCTCAGGACAGTGTTTAAGGAGCAAGAAGATAGAAAACTTGACTATACTATTGAGCTGACACTATGTCAGCCCTTTGGCTTGCGGGGAAAAGTGTGTGGGGGAGGAGCTTTAATCAAATGGCAAAGTTATTTTGTCTAAACTTGGGTTTAAGTAGACTTAGTGCAGATGAAGAAGAAAAGAGGTTAAATTTCTAAAACAGCTATGGCTCTCACATTTTATGAGCAAGGATGAAGACGAGAGATTTATGCTAGCTGAGCACGTGACAGGGTGCAGAGGGTGTGGCAAGAAGGAGAGCTGGAGTGAGAGCGCCGTGATGCCGGCCCCATGCTCGGGAAGGCATGAGAACCCAGTCTGGGCTTTCAAATGGTTCTCCTCAGCATCCCTTTGAAGAGCAGGATGCAGTGGGAGATGGAAACAATGCTAACTCAACAGTGGAACGTAAGAAAGGACCCCAGACAAATCCAGGAGGGTGGGGCAGAGACACGTGGCTTCGGCACAGAGACACCCTAAGAAAAAGAGAAGAGTAGGGACTCAGATGGAAACACCTGGGAAGTTACGATTTAATTAAGGAGAGTCCACCTGGATTCACACAAAGGCAGCCGTGTCTAACAAATCTGATTTATTGAGGAAGTAACAAGAAGGCTTGACCGGGTTAAGTCGTGGGCATAAGGAGAGCTTTTGATAGAGCACCATAGGCTGAATCTGGGCGGGGAAAAAGCATGGGGGGTGGCTGCAGCAAGGCTAGAGCAGAATGAAAGGCTGGAAAGGTACAGGAAATGGGCAGCCAACCGAGCAGGAGGAAAGCGAGCCTGCAGAGCCCCGGCCGCGCTCTGAAAACACGAGCTGTGCCCACGAGGTCCTGACAGGCGAATTCTTGCTGCCCAGGAACCTGCCTGCTTGGCCTGCAGGCACCCTGACTTTGTACTGGGCAGAGCCTCCTGTTGCCCAGCCAGGTTCCACTGAAGATGTCAGGTGTCATCCACGGCACTGGGGAGGAGGCTGGAGTCATCAGCTGCAGAGGGGCCAGAGTCTGTCCGGGGATGGTTTTAGTAGACTGCACAAGCAGCTGGGGTGGCTGGCCTGTCTGCAACTGGTCTGCTGGACCGGCTGGAGAGTTATAAAACTCCACAAATGCTACAAAGGACCATTGTCTCCACGCCCCTCTGGTGGCCAAGTGTCCCTTCGGTGGGCCTCTTGGCCAACTCCTGGGATCACCCCCAGGTACAGAAGTGGGTACAGTGCAGCTCCATCTCTACGAGGCCTGAAAGCAAATCACTTACCACATCATCGCGGTCTTCCCACTCCACCTCAGAGAGGTCAACGCTACTATAGTTAGGTTTCCTGCGCTTTTTTCCTTCTTCATACTAGTAAGGGGGAAGAAGAAGAAGAAAAAGAAAAGTCCGTGAAGTCATCAGTCAGCGCAATCTTTATCCTCCCAAGTCCTGTTTCACGGACAGGGCTTGGGAGTGGATCGATGCGGGTGAGAAGCCCAGCAGGGGGACAGTCCTAGGGGCTTTAACGACAGGAAAGCCGAGGCCAGGTGCCTCTAAACATTTGCTCCAAGCTGGGGGAGTAGAAAAGTTAACGCTTTGCTTGACATGAGTTTACCTTGTAGACTCCTTGGTTCCAAAAACACCAGATACAAAGGAAAATGTGTCCCCCCTTGAATGGGGGTGGGGTGTGTGCATATGTACATACGCATAGATGGTATACATGTAAACAATGTACATTCTGTAAACGATAGCAGATTAGTTAGCAGCAGAGTTGTCTTCCTATTGAATGTGGTGTGTGTGTGTGTGTGTGTGTGTGTGTATTCCAAAGCTGCTAAAACTCAATTCACGACACAAGAAAGGGCTTCTTACTTAAAAATTTACCAAAAATCTAGCCATGCCCCCCTATACTTTATAATTCTCCCTCCTCTACCTTCTGTCTCAAACCTACCCCAAACTCCTTGGTAAGGAAGGAAAAGCACGGATCTCCACAGCTGGGGCTGGGCTCAGCATGCTGGTGGCATGTTGCAGACACACAGAACCATCTCTTTGCTGCCACACTGGCCGCAGCAGTACTGAACTAAGCACGGCTCCTTTACCTGGTGTAGATGAGGGGCTTAGGAATCACAGCCAGATTTAATGGCTGTTAGGGCATTTCTCCAGAATAGCTGATGAACGCATGAATAACTGGGGAAGTGCTCTTGGTTTTCGCCCCTAAATCACTGGTGTCAGTCACCCTGTAAGCCTACGATTTTATCGGCCGGACATTCTTGTGTCTGGACGTTCTTGTGTCTTGAAGCCTTTCACGCTGGTTGTGGGGTGTTTATAATGTAGGAAAGTCTGCCCTCTGCTGCAGGCTAAGGATTAGCAACCCCTTTACACGTTCATCAGATGTGGGTAACGGCACACTGGAAAAATATATATACATGTATACTGCTTTCTTTTTCACTTTTCTCTCCAGATTGGTCATCTTTTGATTTAACTGGAAGGCTCTAAGTAAGATGCAGGGTCAGTCTTAAGTGTTTCGAGACCTCAAAACCATAGGTTGCCATTTTGGAAATGATCAGCTGCTATGGTGACAGGTGCTGAGGCCACACTGGGCAAGAAGGAGAAAACCGCAGCCTATATGTTGAGCTAGACAAGTGTAAACTAACCCCCGGTGTGATGTGGGAAGGGCCAGAAGGGATTGATCTTGTACCACTGTGGTACCAAACAAGGCCAAGTGTCCAAGTAATGCACTTTTCTTCTCTGTCAAGTGCATTTCAGGAACTCTGTGATCTCTCTGGAGAGTCTCCCTCCCATCCCCACCACTACCTAGGATGGTGCCTGGCCTTCTATGGCCAGTGGGCTCTTACCACCCTGACTGACGGTGAGCCCATCCCTTATTCTTAGGTTTTCAATTAACAGACATTCACGGTCAGTTTTATGACATCAGATCCACTCCAGATGAAGGGGAAGGAAAGTGGTTCCCTCAGAAGCCGCTGTAAACAATAGCAGATTAGCAGTTGGATCCTGTTATGGAAAGTTCCTGTGTGCATGGAGGCCCTGGCCCTTGTGAGATGCAGTCTTGGGCTGAGCAGAAAGAACAGGAATGAAGTCAATGGGAGTTGTCAGCAGCAACAGTGCCTTGCCCCTTAGTGCAGAGGAGTGTGGGGGAGGGACTGTCCTGTCCCCCTGAGGACTTAGAGTCAGACAGCCGTTCTGGACCTCCGACCTAAGAACCATTATTGAGAGTTATTAGGCACCCCAGAAACTCACACAGCCCAGATCCTGAACTTGACAGGCAGAACTTCTGTAATTTCTTGGGTAGCCTGATGCTGGATCTAAACTGTCTATTTTGAGGAAGTTCTTTCTTTGGTTACTTCAAAATGCTTCTTTATTCATTGATTCAATACACATTTATTGGACACCTACTAAGTACAAGGCACTAAAGATATGAAGCCAATTAAGCAGTGCTTCATTCTTTCTCAAGGACTTACTTGTAGTTTATCCTTCTTAATTCTGCTTCTTTAAGGCCAATGTGTTGCCCATAATGCATTTGGGAAAACAGGTTCTAACATGTTAAATAAATTAAACAAGTTAAATAAGATTGCATAGCCAGTATAGTAGAGGACACCTCACCCACCAGCAGCCCCTGTCTAAATTTTCATGTCTAAGCCTCATGTTATTTCAACCACTGTCAAAGAGCTTTTAAAAAAAGACTACAAGCTTCAGAGCAACAAATATTCCTTCATTCTCAAAAAAAGTGTCCCTGTGTCTTTTTTCACAGAGAAGATCGCAGTGGCTCTGCCATGTTACGCCACTCACATCACAGTGGGTGTGTGATCCTAAGCCAGGTACCCAGCTACTCCAAGCTTCCTTCCTCAGTTGCAAAATGGGTAAAAACAATAGTACCTCCATGGCAAAGAAAAGCTGGGAGTATTAAATGAGATACTGTACGTAAAATGGCAAGCACATTCCCAGACACAGAAAAATCTTTTAATACTCAGCTAGCAATATTCCTGAGAGTCATGGATTTTGTGGAAAGACACAGGCTCACTTCATAGAATTGGCTAATACCTCATTTTCCTGAAATGAAGAAGACCACTCAATAACTTCACTGGTCACCATTCTGCAAACCATAGGCAGACAAGAGATGTTTGTTGAATGCGATGGTGTCAGTCACATTCATATGTCTCTACCTGTGTACAGCTTACAAGTTTGAGCTGAAGTCTCTCCTGGCAGAAAAATTCACACTTGTGTTAAGGAGCCCAAGTCCTTTTAGATGGCATTTGGCAAAGGTGGAATCAGCAGAGAATTCTTGACTTCTGATCCTTCCCAGATGTCTTTACTCATTTTTTATAATCTCTCAAGAAATGCAGGACATTTCACCAAAAGGTATTTGAGATACTTGGAAGGATTAGAGAGTGATGGAATGAAAGACTTGCCATCACACTGGCCCGTGAGCCACCATATTCCAGCAAGTCTCTGTAATCTAATTTCACGGCAAGATACAGATAGGGGGTAGGGATATTTCCACTGGAACACTGTCTACAATGTCTGCTTAGCCAGGTATGTAAAATGGGTTTGAAACACTTTTCATTTGGGTCTTTATTAATGAATAAGCTCCTTTATAATATAAATAGTCATGCATCAGAGTGATTAATTTGAGTGAGAAAAGTAAAAGTCAGTGGGCTGCTGCATAGATACAACAGGCCAAGAGCTATGAGCCAACTCTAACACACGGAGCCTAAATCCTCCTACCTCCTTTCCCCTACTAAGTAATACATTAAAAGGACAGAGAGTGGCACTCTATTAGGAAGGTTCCTATGCTTCATTCTGCCACCACCCATCCCCTACTAATCACCTCAGTTTTCCTGTAGGGAACTCCTTGGGCACCACACCCAGGAAGTATAATTCTAGTGAAGGTAAAACCATCCTTCATGGGGCCTTCTCAGTGAGGGAGGCCCACATCACTCTAGGGTGTCACTGGTTCAGAGGTGGGTACATAACCCATTCCAATTCAAATGAAACTCAAGAGATTCTATTTGGGATGCTTTCCTGGATTTATCCAGAAGAGGTGTTGCTAAGGTGGCAGGATGGGAACCTGTAACAGCTCATGGCCATCTCTGCCACTACTTACAGAAGGTCTTCCTGGGAATGAAGCCAATTCAGGGAAAGCTGAGAAAAGATAAGAAAAGTGTCCTGCAAATGTGGTGTGTGCACCTGGATCAGGCTGTGCCTGAAATCCTTGGATGTTTTCTATGTCTATACTTTCTCTCCACCTTATCCCCCTTCCCTTTTAAAGACCTTATTTTAATAGTAATTAAAAAAAGCTGGCTTACATTTTAAGCATTGAGTAGTGAATAGAATTCCAACTGGTATATATTTAGTGCCTTTTCTTTTTCTTTTCAAATGAACTGCTTTTTTAAGTACATGTTATGTGAAGTATTCACAAACATTAGTGTTTCCATGATTATGGAGGAACATGTGATTTACGAAATGTCCTCCTACTCTCCAAGATACACGACTGTGTTTGAGTACAGTTGCTCTCTCTGCCTACTTCTCCGGCCCCTCACCCCTATGAGTGAAAGAAAAAGAACTAAATTCTCAAATGTCCAACTCCCACGCCCAACCTCCCCTCTCCCATGCAGTTTTAAAAGGGGACAAATCCCAGGTCCCTTAGCTCCATGACTCCCTCTTCTTTTGCATGAGGAGTTGGTTCCCGGGGCCTAAGCATCGTGTATGGCATTTGTTAGTGTATCTGTAATCTGTAACTTCCTTTCAAAATGTGATTAACGAATTGCAAACAGTTTCCAAAGGTTTATAAACAGATACTTTGAGAGCCACAGGTAGGTTTGTAGTTTTTGGTGCCTGTTTTATGAAAAAAATCTGTGGGGGAGAATTTAATAAGGAAAGATATTCTGTGCTATGAAATACTTTGAGGTGGAGTTTCAAATAAAGGCCAGATGTGGGGAACACACAAACTAGCGCTTGGCCTAGCAGGATGGGACAAGAGGGCACTCATCGAGGAGCAAGCTGGAACCAGGACTTGCCTGCAGCACAGAGCCTTTTCCTGGCCGTATTTAATGGTCTGGATACCAGCACCCTTTTGTGTTACCTACAGACTAACTTTGGAAACACAGTGGGCTGGGCCAACGCAATGACCATGTTGATTTCAATAAAACAAAACACCTTTATTCTTTCTGTGTTCTTCTGGGAAAGGCCAGAGGAAATCAGCTACACATACCCATGCAGCCTCTGTGGAACAAATACTGTGTGTGCTAATAATTGATACATATATGTGCTACTCCATGCTGCCAACAGGAAGGAAGGAGATGGGGGTGGGAGATCCCCAAGTGGAGAGGAATAAACTTTGTCCAAAGCTAATGCCA